AGAAAAAGGTAATGTGAGAAGATCCCAATGCCCAAGTTTGGACAGAATCAGGGAGCAGCATCACCTGAGCTGGCACAGTGACTGCAGAGGCTTCACATTCCTACGAGTCACTCACCTTAATTCCCATTACCAAGAGATTACTGCTAGTTTGAAGCAGCCAATAAGGGAAGCTGATCTCTTAGGTGGGTCCTGTAAAAAGTGATTGATCGAGGTAGTGCATCCCATCTTTCTCAATGACGTTCTAATGGTAACAATGTTCTATTTGCTATCTGCACAGGTATAAGCAGAGGCTCTCCTGTATCACACTGTTTTGGTGAAAACAAAGCTCAGCTTCTGATCACAGGCTGACCTGTTTATCCTGGAGCATGTTTTCAGGTAATGGTCCTTGCTTAAGGGCCCAAGGATGATATGACTACACTGCCCCCTATGGGATTTGAACCAGCGACCTTCTGATAACAGGCCTAAGTTGAATCTTAACTTCGGGGTCTGGCTCAGCTCTAGCTAGAGGAGCATTTTCACTAGTAATGCTGTTAGAGAATGGTAGGCCACTAGACGCTCTGCATGTTCCTGGGTTTCGAGTCTTACTTTTGGGTAGAAGTAACACGCAAAACAGCAAACAACACATTCACAGGCTTGGAACAAAGACATTTCTGTTAGTATCTATACAGACATATCTAGTAAGCAGCAGAGTAACAGCATTCACACTGTCTAGCTCTTAAATAGCTAGTGCCAGGCTTTTATTTTTATACGGGCTCTGGAATACCACATATTATAAGTTGATAATTGGATTTCTGAACGTGACCTTGGGCCTGTCAGTAAATATCCATTTTCCTGTGTGTCCTTCAGGAAGCAAGGGGCTATGGAAATGCCGGCCAACCTCTCCACCTTGCTCCATTCATACTGCATTGGACCCCTGGGGGCCGAAGGAGGGGATAGGGACTTGGCTGCCCCCCCACCCCATGCTGAAGACATTTCCTGAAGGCAAGGACACTCTGGGGCCTAATGAAACCTGCCACCTTGTTGTGATTTGAGACTAGGAGGCCCAGCGCAAGCCCCCATCCCCCCATCCCCCCTATTGCTCACAAGCTTGTCTGTTCTGCTGCTCTCTACTTGGTACTTAAGCAGAATGACTTCTTCTATATGGGCAGTTATTATCCTGCTAGTCAAGATAAAACCTGAACCACAGAGTGGGGGGGAAGGAGGGGGGGTTCAGCTGCTTTGCCTGCAGCTAGACATTAAACCAAAAAAAAAAAAAAGGAATTGCAGTTTTGATACTCTGGATAATGCGGGCGCGGCTGTGCATGAAGCTCGCACGCCGTGCTGAGGGCCCGCAGCCCTGTGCCATCTCAAGAGCAACTATAGTCGCTACCCATAATCCTCCTCTCAGTGTGACCGCTCCTGTGGCAGCTTGAAGAGCATTCTGTCAAATGCCCCTCCCTGACAGAAACAGGGACCGCCGGCGATGGAGGGTAGGAGTGCTGGAGGACAAGAGAGGCGGCAGACAAGAGCAACAGGGGGTAGAAGTTATCAGTAGGCCTGGTAATCTTCATCGCTAAATATTGACGAGTTTCTGCAGCCTCACAGAGGCCGTGATAAATAAGAGTAGAATGTGTATCAGAGCAGTGCTGTCGGCGAAACAGGCCAAGGAAAAGAAAAAATAAAACCGAAATGAGGTAGGAAACAGCCTCTTGTAAAAATGAAGATTCTCACATGGATCAAAGGAATTCTCCTGTTTCATCTATTTTTGAAGACAGTTAATGATCAGGAAAAAAGAAAAACTCCTCTTATTGAGTTTCAAAGGCTGTTTTACAGGGAGTTTTGCCAAATATTTAAAGAGTAGGAGTATTAACAGAACAAGTGAGTAAAGCAAAATGAAGAACTGTGGGTACAGAGAGCTCACTCAGCTATGTAAAGAAGACGTGCCCTCCCTCCCACGCAGAAGAGCGCAGGCACCAGGTCACACACACAAGCTCCCACACAACACACCCACGCAGCCAGGCGCACGGGGCTGACCCTTGCGGATGCCTGCGTAGCTGCTGCTCAGCCCGCTCCGCTTCTTGCGGTGTCGATAGAGCCAGATGCTGAAGACCATGAGGATTATCCAGCAGGCGGCACCGATGCCGGCGATGAAGGCCGGCTGCTTCACCACGTCCGAGATCTGCTGGGACAGGGGTTGGTCTGGGGTCTTGATGCGGCCAGAGGAGTCTGTGGAGAGGAAGGCAAGGAGCTCTCATCTCCAATGTTCAAGTCTCAGTTACCAGCTCAATGGATCAACTCAGTGGTCATGCTCTCCGGTTATTAACTCTGATTATTAAGTGTGGTCAGCTTAATAATCTTAATAAGCTAGCAGGCTGCTTTAGCCACGGCGTGCTGTAAGAATCGCTAAACAGAAATGCCGTGGAACTGAGTTCATCTGAACTGAAAGGAGGCATGAAATATGAGAGCATGTGGGATGAAAAGGGAGAAAGGAGGATGTGAGAGGACAGAATGGGAAGGGGAGGAGGGAAGAGGGCAAAGGGGTGAAGGAGAAGCAGAGGGAAGACAAGAAAAGGCCAAAAGAGTGAAAGGGATAGAATAGGTACAGCAGAATGAGGTACATAAGAGTGTAAATAAGGGTGCCAAGGAAATCCAAGGCCAGCAAATTGAAGCCGACGGGAAACAGCAGACGATAGTGAGAGAGGAGATGAAAAAGGTGAGGAGAGGTAACCCCATGGGGAGGATAACGGCAGACAGTGCTCATTCCCAGAACTTTGGGAGGACTAAAGAAGAACATGTCAGCCAAATTTGCTCAAATGAAAAGCAGCACAAAGCATCTTTCATCTCACTAGCCAGCCTTAGGCATGGTTATCCAATGAGAGAAATGTGAGACTTGTCAATCAAATCAGCTGCCCAATCAGACAGAGCCCAGTAAAAAACTGGCGGGTCATAAACTCGAACAGAGGAAGGTGGTCCCCAGGGCCACAGCTGTCAAGGCATGTACATGGATGAGTAGAGTAACCTGGGTTGGCTGATGAACCAAAAGGAGTCTCTTTTTATATGGGAGCTGCACCAACCAGAAAGAGGACTGATGAACCTTTGAATTGGAAGGTTAATTTGACATGTCATTTACAGAACAAATCGCTTAATGAAATGAAAGGAGTCCATGAAGCCTAAATGTATAACATTATGTACTGAGAAATTCTGGGTTATTTTTTATATTGCCGTCTACAGAACACTGAACACAGTAATTTACTTAGAGGTCATTTATGAAAACATATTATTCAGAGATTACACAACATTATATATCTGAGTGCAGACATGCATGCTTATATAGAGTGACACACATAGCTTGCCTACAAATTTCCCCCACTTGCACAGCTGGAATTTTAGTGAAGCAATTACATTTAGGAACTTTGCTCAAGGCTACAGCTGGCCTGTGCCTTGTTTAGTTTAATTCTTTAACTACTTCGACACAACACTGAGCTGTGGGTTCCCAGGAAAAGGCCTGAACAGGCCCTAGAGATGAGCATGGTCATGAGATGGTGAGGATCTAATGCTGATTCCGCTTGATTTCACATCCTGCTAAGGGCAACGGTGTTTGTGCTGCTGAAATAGGACTTGAGCAATGAGTCACATCATAAACACACAGGGTCACCACAAAAGCTGCAAGGAACACTGACTTTGCCTTTACTGTCATGCCCATCAGAGTGGAGGGGTGAGCGGGGGGGGGGTTCCTTGGCTGGATTATTGATGAATGCGGCTGGCTGACAGGCACATTCACACATGAGGACGGCTTTTATGCTTTTCTCTCATTTCCTGACTTTCCTCCTCTCTGGCATGTCCTGTTCCCATCACACCAATTTCTCTGTGATTTCCTGCACTTTCGTCTTTCTTTTTCGTCACAGAGGATTTTTACTCTTCTCAGAGATCACAGATGGTCCGGGAAGGCCTGCTTCATGTTCAGCCCGGTTTCTGCGCCTCCCTACTGCATGATCTCAGACCACCTGAATGGGCCACACTAATGAGCAGCAACCATGGCACCTGAGGTTTACCTGGGTGTCACATTCTCGCTGCAGTGACAGATGAACCTATGGAGCCATGATGGACACTTTCTATCGAACCTAATGATGGCAATGGTTTTACATGCATGTCTCAAGCATTGCGGAATTATATCTTTGCCCCAAACTACCAGGGGTCAGAAGGCATAGTGACAGCCAAGAGCAGATCGAGGGAGGGTCCTGTGTCATGCTTGCGTCTTTGTTCCTGCTTTAGCAGGGCAAGCGCAGGGTTTGCTCCATGCTGACAAGAAGAACCAAGTAGAACACAAGACTGGACAAGCCCCAGAGCATTTGCTGCAAAATTAGTGAAGTCGAGTTATACTGTAAGTGCTTCTAGCTCCAGTTCGGTGACTATTACTACCCCACAGACGGCAGCTGGATAATTAATCTACAGCACTGCTGTAAACATGCCGCTGTTGGAAAAACAAACCATGTAAATCGCTCTGGGAGCATCCACTGCCATCGTGAGTAAATCAGCACTGCCGGCACTGCTGCCGCGTCATTTCCATTAAGCAGCTGTGACATGAAATTATTCAGGTTACACTGGAAAACTGATAAACAGGCTAATGGCGGAGATTAATCCGACGAGAGTCCTTGCCACTCACGCTTGTCAGAGGCAGTATCGAGGATGACAGAAATAATTGGGCTGAAATAATTTCAATTACTCGATGAAAGATTGGAGCATAAAAAGAGTGAGAAGGGGAAATACATGGCAGAGCACAGCCATGGGAAATTGTTTTTGCAACAGGTGATGGCATTTACATTAGCAGGGATTACGGGTTTTCTACGACTGGAGCCTCATGTTGGCCACAAATCAGAGCTTCTGCTCTGAAAAATGAGGTGAGGATCAGATGCAATCAGCTAGATGACACAGAGAAAGCAGGAAATGTTTTATTCAATACATGATGGATATATATTTTAAAATAACAATAAATGCTTAACCATGTTGCAAAAGCCTCTATCTCTGGCACAAATGATCTGGAATAAGCCAGGATTTCTGATGAGGCCAAACGTGGTAATGCAGCCAAGGCAGAGAAAACAATGCTAGAGGCAAGATGATGACCTTTGACCTTTCAGAATATAAGACAGAGGACAGCAGTTATAATCCTGAAGCAGGCACCTGGCAGGCTCTTGAAAAGGACGAATTGCTTATTTATGCCATTTATATAAACTAAGCAAACAAGGACATGAGATTATAAAATAAAGGCCCAGTAGAATATGCCAAGGAGGGGCTCTGCTGAGAGGAATGAGTGTGGAGATCCCGCTGTATAAATAGGTATATAACGCTGTGGATAAAGGCACATAGAAAGCAGAAATCAGAGTTAGGGAATGGAAAGGAGGATCTGCAGGACTTGCGATGACGGGCTGCAGCTGCATGGCAGGTCAGTTGACACTCACCCAGCTGGAAGACGGTGACCTCGCTCCTGACTCCCGGCCCAGCCCCTGTGCTGGCGGCCACCTCCACACTATAGCGGATCCCGGGGGACAGGCTGGGCAGCTGCACCGAGAAGGTGGACCCGTCCACGGTACGGTTCACGTGGTACCTGCTCTCGTTCCCCAGGCACCAAATCTGTCAGAGATGGGAAGTCGTGGCTTAGCTGTGTGGGGGCGGAGTTTGGTTGGGGGCATGGTTTACAGTGCAGGGTCACAGGGGTGCCTGCTGGCTATCCCAGAATGCACAGGGCACAGGGCAGGGGACACACACTCATGCACACAATCACAAATCATGGGCAATTTAGAGGCCAGTTTATCTAGTCTCACATTTTTGCACCACCGCTAAAAAGTGGAACACGTAAACTCGCACACCCACGGAGCCAGCGATGGGCTCCAAGCCGCCAGCGCCGGAGGTGTGAGTCTGACCTCTGACCCAGCATACCCCCCCTCGTCAGCCATAATGTACATCTTTCTGAAGAATGCAACACACGCCTAGATCCAAAAACCTAATTATCTCTAACATCGCATCTGTGTTTCCTGGAGCTCAGCTCTGCATCGCAGCCTTTGGCCAGCCTGGATCGGGGGCTTTGTGCTGAAGCTCATTCAGCTCGGGAATTAAGGCCGCCATGCCAGCTCCTCGCTGCTTTCCCTACATAGAGCACCTGCTTCCTGTACACCCCCAAGTCGGCAGCTCAGGAACGGCAGCCAGTCAGCATGGGACAAGGTATGTGCGTGGGGGGGGGGGGGGGGGGGGGGCTTAACAGCCTTGCATTTGCACTGCGTGCCACCGCCAGGAAAAATTTACATGGGAAATGAGGTGCCTTAGCTTTTACGTGGAAATCCACCCTCCATACTGGGTGCTGTTTCTTGCACACAAAGCTATGCAATTTAAGTTACAGAATACACAGAGACTATTACATTTGACAGAGGTGCTCCCAAAGCCGGCTTCACTCAGAGCATTCACTCATACTTGCAGCTGAAGAGGGAGATAAAATTATTTGACCAGGATGGGGTGCAAGAGGTTAATCACAGCACTACAGAAATCTCAGATGGTCCCGATAGCTAGATTAAGCTGTACACAAAGAGCCGTCTCCCAGGTACAAGGCCCTTCACAGGAGGCTGGAGAGCACTGCCCACACGATTCCCCTACACACGGCCGCCTTTCATTACTCACGGCCCAAACAGACTTCTGTTGGTTTATTGAAGAGGTATTAGAGAGACTGATGGTTAAGAGAGGACAGGCCCACTGTGAACAGTAAGGGAGAAGGCTGTGATAAACCCAGCCTCTTGGGTGCCTAAGGACTCTGAAATAGATGTCAACCTGAAAAATATATTCCTCCTAAAAGTAGCAGATTTGGACTAGATATTTAGGAAAACATCTGGCCATCACCTGAACATTGAACCAATCATCTCCAGCTATGGACAGAATCTCAGGAACATCCCTCTGTAATGTTTAGTGCACAGGGAACCACAATAAGGTCTTATTCAATAAGTCATGTGATGAGGGGCTGTCTGGTCTTCCTCCAAAAGATGGCGCTGTTTCACTATAATTGAGTTTTCTCACGGCTGGCATTTCCGTTTGCATCCTCTGTAAGAGCAGAGGCATAAGAGTCTGCACGATCCCTGCTGAGGTCTTTGGGTCTTTACCTTATACTCCTGGACAACGCCATTCTGGTCTTCCTCTGGCGGTGGCTTCCAGGAGACCACGATGGATGTGCCATTGCTATCGCTGTTCCTCACTGTGACCCCCTGGGGCGCTGCGCTGGGGACTGACCCGGGACAGACAGACAGACACAGCCGGACAAAGACGGACACAAACGTCAGCCAGTCACTTTGTTCCTCCGTGATCCCTGAAGGCCCCCAGCGATCATCATTTAGCCTTGCCTGCAAAATTCTCACATTCAAAAGAAAATAGCTTGTTTTTCTTTCTTACAGGGCAGGATTTGTTTGTGGTCTTTGTTTCGGCTGTTTTGACAGCCCAACAAAGCCCACCACACTTTAACAGAAAATAATAGTAATCATTCCTTTTGCTGCTTTCATTTGCTGCTTTTTTCTATCATTTGCCCCACAAGCTATGGCAGGAGTGATTGTGGAGAATATGCCTGCAGTGAAGCACAATGTCTCAGCTGGGAGCCAGTCACTTCAGTACAGCAAAGGGAGCTTCTCCACAGACAAGAAGCACATGCACACAGAATCAGCAGAGCGCTTCCCTGCAAACAAGACATTAACAGTGACAAATGTTTTTCTTATTTTTTGCTTCTGTGTTTTTTCGGCACATGGGCGTGACTACAGAGACCAACATGTTGGAATATAGAATTAAAAATAAAGAAGCAGTAATTACTATTCTGAAAGGAGCCAGGCAGCAATGCGGCATTGCTAGTCCAGGAGCAGAATGGAAATTAATCAGTTATGAATGCATTTCCCAATGAATAATAATTAAAAAAAACAAGCAAACGGGCGGCGGTGTCTTGCCACACTTACAAAACCAGAAATCAATTAAAAGAACAGCGAGCCTCCCTATGGAACGCTGAATGCCAGCTTGCCAGCGAAACAACAGGCTCTACACTACCCTGAAAATGCTGGGCCAATCCCAAGCCACGCCCCCAGAGAGCAGCCCCACCCCAAAAACCAATTAGCACACTAATTATCTCTGTTGTATTCAGGATTCCTAGCGGTGCTCCAATCTGGAGTCATTTTTGCTGTTTATTGTTTATACTGATGAACAACTGCTTGCTGCTTGGTCTCTGTTCTTTATAGGTGACTCTCTCTCTCCTACTCACCCTCCTCCAGTGTCTTGGCCACTTTCACCTCGCTGTCCGTCCCCTGGAACTCGTTAAAGTATGGCCGCACCTTGAACTCATAGGTGATCCCCTTCTTGAGCTGAGGCACAACAGCGTTGTCGTCCCCCGGGCTGCGCACCTCAAAGACGCCCCACTCCCCGCGAGGCTGTCCGCCTTCCGGGCTGGGGCGGTACATCACCTTGTAGCCCTGAACGTACTGGGACTGCTGCTCCACCTGGTGGCAGGGCAAAATATGACATGATTATACAAAGTGACCTTTGGTTCTGTTAAAAACAAAAAGTTTTGAAACTTTTTCTCTATAAATAGGAAAACAATGCAAAGTGTTAGGAAGCAATAGAAAGACAATACAAAGTACCTCAACCAAACAAAAGAAACTGAAATATATGTTTGAAAATGGTGGAATTTGGGTAATGTAATTTAACCCATTAAGAGCTGCAGAGGTAGGCACTCCCAGTTTCACCAAGTGCTAATGAATCTTGTCATCCTGGCTCTTTCTGGGGGGGGGGGGGTACCCAGATGTAGGGACAGACCCTTCCCATCTTGCCACAACCATCTACGGAAACCATGCCATGAGATCATCACCATGGAACCCATTGCCAACCATGGGAACACCAAACCTGGCCTGAGCATAAGGGCAGCGCTATGCTGAGTTCTGCCCCAGGGGGAAGTTGGCTTGTAGACCCTATTCCCCACTGTGCTGCATGTAGCTCTAGCTGCTGATGGGAGGCATGTGGCCCATGGGTTCCAGGAGGGAAAAACAGCGCACGCTTGTAAATGTTTAACACTGTTTTTATATCCTCCTCAATAAAAAATAAAGCTATTGCCCACTCATGTGGTCTGCATTAGCCCCCGCTGCACGTTCTGGGAGCTAGCTGGAGATGAGCCCACCTTGGCCCAGATCACCTGGAGCTTGTCCTACTGGCACCAGCAAGCAAACCAGAAAGAAAGGCTGTGAGAAGCAGGCGCAAGACCACGCTGGCACAGATCAGTCTCTCCAGTGCTCTAAAATCCTAATGTTTCAATAATATAAAAATAAATGAAAGGAATACAGTGTCTCCTGTGGCCTGTATGACTCTGTGACCCCTAGGGCCTCTTCCAAATCTAAACTTAAAAATTATTTTATCATGCCCCCTATAGGTGCCAGGGCCGTCCCGTCTCTGCCGTAAGGGAAGCACGTTGGCTAGTTTGTTTTCATGCACAGATGACTGCTTATTCATATCCCAGGATTACTGCTGTTTTATGCCCTAGAGGAATGTGCTAAAGCCTTAATTGCATTAGAAAAATGCATAAATGGTGAGAAATGCAAAGCTATAAAAGTACGTGTAAATGTCTAACTAAAACTGTGAAAGCCTGGCCGAACTGGAAAATGCAGGAAATCACAGATCAGCCCCTCTGACTGCTTAGTGACTCTCGCTGATGGAGAGTATCAGTGACGTCTGACGGATAATAAGAGGCTTGGGACAGGTGTCATTCTGATCCTCTAAGTTACCTGGGGGTAGAGCACACTGACTGTGTTTGGTTTGGTAATTGTGCAGTTGTAGCTATAATTATGTTTATTAGATGTGTTTTGTTTCCTGGTTTTGATTTAATATTAGAAACCTGTGGATTTTTGCTTTATTAAATCATTCAGCAGCTTTGGCGTTTGCTTTTTTAAATGCGGCTTTAGTATAATTCCTGATCATTACTAAGCACACATATTAAGGACATAACTGAAAGATTAGCTCAGAACTTCTACCTTCCTGTCTCATTTTTGGTTCAGAAAGCAAAATGAAACAAATGAATACGTTTCTTGACATGGCCGAAACCTAAGTATATGTTTAACACTGAAAACATTATGCTGTCAGTTGGTTATAGTGTTGTATATATAGTGTTGTAAAGCTCGAAGACCCTGGCAAGTTATTCTCATTTAGACCTGGTAAAATTAATTAAAGATGTTTCCCGCTACAGACATGTGACCATACTCAGTAGCAGAAAACATGGGACTTCATTATGACTGTGATGATGCTGTCTAATTTTTTATTTATTTTACATATTTATTTTTACTGTGAAAATGAGCAACTCTCAGGTTTTGTCATGCAGACAACATATATTTTGTTTCGAGGTGCGATAAAAAAAAAATTCAAAACAAATTGTGTGTCAGACTGCCAGGAAAATGATTCAGAGCTATAAGCATATTGAGTGGGCAGGGTCAGTGCAGACCAAGGCACTCACTGTCCACTGCACCCTGACGGAGGAGGATGACAGGATGGTGGGGTTGTGCAGGTGGACCACCACATCCCCAAGCTCCTTCTGGATCTGCCGGTGGTCCACGCCCTGGCTGGTGGGCAGAACGTCTGCAGAAGCGATGGAGAACATAGGACAGGTAGCACAATAGCTAAGAGCAAACGGTGGTCTCTGCTGGTACCAGAGCTTAATATTATGCTCTGTAGAAAGTTACATTTTTACTTAATATTCTATTTTTATCCTACAGTAGTGCCTGTTTTTACAAAGATACTAAACCAGTGCTTCTCACAGATATTGAACTGGAACCTTTAAGTACATTTTACCCACCATACTACCTGCTACCCATCAATTTAAATAGAATTACTTGAGTACAAAGCTTGTCAAGCATAAACAACATCGTGAATACAGGACGTTGGAATGGCAGGAGGAGAGGCGACAGGAGGTCACCTTGTGTCTTGACAGCGTCAGAGATGGGGCTGGGGTCACTCAGGCCGTAGGCGTTGGCAGCCCGAACCAGGAACAGGTAGACAGCGCTGGGCCTCAGACCCTTCAGGACGAATGACTCCATTTTGACATGGTCTGCCAACGTCTGCCAGCTGCTGCCGGAGGCATGGCTGCAATGAAGGAGGCACAGCACAGTTACATTGTGATGTTGTCGTCAGTGCACACAAAGGGGACAGGCACTCACTTAAAGGCCTCGATGATGTAGGAGGTGGGCGGGCACACAAAGGGGACACACACTCACCTAAAGGCCTCGATGATGTAGGAGGTGGGCGTGGCTCCTGAATTGAGGTTGGGCTTCCAAGACAGGGTGACGGAGTTGCGGGTGACGTCGGTCACTTCTGGCTTAGTGGGGGCGCTGGGGATGAGATTGGGGTCTGTTGGCCTTGCCGGCTGCACTGGGACTCCGAACTCTGGAAGAATAACAGTGCAAACATGTGCATTAAATGTTAGGCCAGCTAATGGAAGATCAGTTCAGGTACAATGTTATCATATCTGCAAAAACCAACCTCAACCCACACTAAGAATGTGTACATAGCACACAGAGGCTACTTGGGATTTTATTGTCTGCACACAAAGAGGAAGAATACGGTCCTTTTAATGTACATGGCTGTGCTTCACATCGAAGAACTGCTGTATAACAATAGGCCCAGAGCTTCAGGCTAAAGCTGCCCAAAGCTGAGTGAGATCATAGTGAGGAACAGCAATTACATACTGAAGAGGCTTCATTCACTGTGGTTTAGCCCCTCTGCCTGTGTCCCCGACCCCCCGCTTCTGTAGTGCTTCATGTGGGTGAAGCAGCACCCTTACCCTGAACTTCTAGATAGGCCTTCCAGGACGCCTCTCCGCTGGGTGTGGAAGCGGTACAGGTATACATGCCCGTGTCACCCAGCTGGGGGGGGGGGGGAGAAAGGGAAAGAATGAGCAAGGGGGCAAAGGGAGGTAAGCCAGTGGTCTCTGCTGATTGGACAGCAGTCAGAAAGTGCCACATGTGCTCTGACATGGATTGCAGATCTCTCAGAAGAACACGCTCATTACGAAGCTTCCTCCTTTGTTCCCCCGCAGTGCTGAAAGCGGAGAATCAGAACACATGGGGGATGAGCGCACGTACCCCAGCTTGAGTTGCAGGAGCAGTGCCACGGCGAGCCACAAGGAGAGTGACACTGCGAGCTGCAAAAACAATGCCACTTCGGGCCACAGGGACAGTGCCTCCATGTGCTACAAGAAAAGTGCAAACACAGTGCCACTGCAAGCTGAAGGGACAGTGTCACTGCAAGCCACAAGGAAAGTGCCGCCACCAGCCGCAGGAACAGTGCCACTGCAAGCCGCAGGGAGAGTGCCACCATGATCTGCATGGACAGTGCCACCGCAAATTGTAGAAATAGTGCCACCAGTCACCATGACATGCCCACGGTAATTAACGCACCTCACTGGTTTTGGGAGCTGATGAGCCCATTGATCTTAATCTGAATGTGCATGTGTGTCTGTGTCTGTAAAACAGAAACCCCCCCCCCCCACACCACAACACCCCATGGAATATAACTCCCTCTAGCAGGCTTTTCTATTGGACTGTCATGTGGTTGACAGTAGCGGGGAGTGCGTTCGACTTCATACAATCACGTGGCATGCTCAGATACATGACAGACAGCTCGCTGAAGCGGGGAGCGAAAACTGGGGGGAGTGGGGGCACAAATGCGAGAAACAATCAAAGACAATTTAATGACGACGTGGGGGTATCAGCTTCTTATCACAACAGCACGTGTCAGACAGCAGATCTTATCAAAGGAACACAGCTGCTATTCCTGCAATATAACAACATAGCTAAGGTTTCCTTATTTTAGCTTAGGGAACCGGATGAATGTGAGACAAGGTTCTGGGCATTTTCTAGCTATTTTCCTTCACTGAAAAGGATCACTTTGTCTGGGGTAATGGGCTGGAGGATGGATGGATGAAGAGTATCTCGCACTTTCATCATAACTCCTTAGGGTTTCAAATATTTATGCTAAACAATGAGCTTCGTGAACAAGCGAAAACTATTTTGCCTCATTTATAAACAAGGTTTTCATTCTTATTTGCGTGTTTCCATTTTTGCTTCTTTACTATCTTTGGATTATACATTTATTAATAATTATAGTATCGTATATTACTGTAGTATAATTAGATAAAAATAATATGTGGGCATTAGCAAGTAGGTCAATACATCGCTGCTTCGCTGTAGGTATACTTAAGTATGAGAGCTGGGCTAAGGTTTCCCCACGGCTGAGATCATTATCCATCACATCACGGATACTGCAAGCTGTGTGCAATCCCGCTGTCCATAGCTCAGACCCACTGGCCAGCGTTAGTGCTGTCCACGTTGGCTGCCTTGCTACTCGCCAGATCGACTCCTCGCTAATAGAATTTAGGTAGCTTAAGTGCCCTGGACGCAGGGCTCGATTCTGCTCCCTGGCTGCCATAGGCTCTGATGCTAACTCGCTGATGGGGGGAGGGGGGGTCACACTTTTGATCACATGACTTCCCAGCAAAAAACCTTCTGCTGGGTCACATTAGCCAATTGGAGAACATTAATATGGTATTTAGCATTACCTCTTACAGCTCAAAACGCCTCCTGTCAACAGTTAGTTCACTGATGATGCAATCTATACGTATTGGTTTTTCTTACACTTTTTAACAATTCAATTTAGCAAGAACCGGCGTTATTAGGAATAGTGCAGTTTTAAGGCATTACGCGGTTTGTTTTAGGCACATGTGATAAGGCAGAGCAAGCCAAGAGACACCTCCTCTGGGAGGGGAAGCCACAGGCTGTATGCCTTCACTGAGCTGTTTGTCAGTCCATTGACATCAGTGTAAATATGAGGTCTCATACAGAGTGTTTGCACTGGGGGTTAATAGCTTGCAAATGGGGAAAGTGGCCTGTCGAAAGTGTAAACACACATGGGCACAAGCAGGGGCACAGACCGCGTGCCTTTTGTGTGGATGTCAGCGCAAATCACCCTGCACAAAGAAATTAACGAAAATCTGGTCGCTCCTGGACCCTCAAGGGGATGTTATGAAGTGGAGGAAGGGGTACAGATAATGCAATGTTCATTTTTGCGCCCCCTACCTTGGCATAGCGGATCTGCAGCGCGCCCGTATCTAGCTGCTTTATCCGCGAGTCGTGGGTGGACACGAGCACTCCGTCCTTCCTCCACAGGATGGTGGGAGGGGGGTTTCCCGTGGCGAGACAGCTGAGAACCGCGGTTCCATCCACCGACACCGTCTGGTTTGCCGGACCCTGCCGGACCACCGGAGGTGGCCGATCGGACACCACTGTGAGGAGGGGGACAAAGGGAGAAGAGAGAAAGGACAGAGACGAGTGCTTGTTAGGGTGAATTTGAGACTGTGCATGTAATGAATGAGTGTATTAAACTGGAAAGGATATGAGTATGAAACCCATTAAAATGAAGAGACACAAACTAACAAAACAAACAAAAAAAACATCAGTGCTATTGGGCTTTAAATAGGAACATTGGCATGATCCCTAAAAATAAAATTGAAATGAAAAAGGACAAACAACTGGTGACCGCAAGCCATGCATCTGGAAAGAGCGGGATGCAGAAATGTGGGCGACAGCAAAGGGAGCAGCGTGAATAGACTCTTCGGACGGGAAGGAAGGCCACGCTTTCCAGGACTCCATTATCCGGAAATATCCACAAAGCATAAGATTTAAGAAGCCAGCTGAAGTATAGATGCTTATTATAATTGCAATGGTGAATTTTAATGATTTGTATCCAGCAAACACAGTATTAACGTTTACTGTGTATTTACTGGTGCTGTTACTTATGCTCTTGCTGCGGCTGATTAAGCAGTAACATCAACTGTGTCGCACACGGTGAGTTTATCAGTGCCGGTACTGTCGCACCGCCACGAGGCTGGATCAGCGGCTTCCCCCCGTCGGGGAAGGCCGGCCGAATCCCTGGCAACCCCGCACCGGGGGGGTGGGGGGAACTCTCAGCCGGGCCGCATTCAAATGAGCCAAATCCAATCTTCACCACTGGAAGCAATTTTCTAATCATTCAGCAGCAGGAGTCAACCTTCGCCAAACAAACAGGGGTAATTAAAATGAAATGCCTTGGACACGTGCCCCCCCTCGCTGGCAGTGCCGTGAAAATGGGCGACCGGGCAGAAATTAAGGAATAAAAACACAGAATGAAAGCAGCCCAAGACAGGCGGGGGCATGCCATTAACATTGCCCACCCCCCCAACTGCCAATCCAGCTGTTTGCAGAAACAAAGAAAAAGGCAGACAGAAGTGTTTGAACCCCTGAGGACCCCCCCAGGGGTCTCAGATACTGGACAAGGGGGTGTGGTTTTGCTGGTCACATGATTGATCACCTTATCTTCCAACCTTATTATTATCATTACAATCAATTAGTGCGGCTAATAATTTCATAATAGAATTGTTTTTCACAGCAGACTTACAGCTGTCCTGCCCACCCAAAATGATTTCCTGGCTACATTACTGACTGCCATTTGTGGCCATTTGCAGCTGCTGCTGCTTATACAGGATGGTGACAGACAGGTGGCGTTGACCTTGTGGCTGGAATGGGAAGGAGCAGCCGTCAGGCATGCAGATGAGCCTGGGTATCGAATCTCAAAACACCGGGCTTATTTTTATTAATGGGAATGAACACTGAAACACACGGACTCAATTAAACTTTCATTATAAACTGCAAAAACAAAGCAGCTATTGTAGGCAGACTTACATCCCAAGACAAAACAGTAGCTTGAATTCAGTTGAAGTAAAGACTGAAAGTAAAATATGAATACAGATCTCTTTGTGAGGTCGAGGGTGACCCGGACAGCGAGTGAGCAGGCTGGATGACTGCCCCCACCCTCTGCAGCCCCGGCAGCACCATGCCGTGCCTCTCTCACCATCGGTGACCTCCAGCAGAGCCTTGGTGATCACACTGCCGGCGATGTTGAGGGCCTGGCAGCTGTAGAACCCGCCGTCGGAGCGCTGGACGTCCGTGATGGTCAGATCGCCTGTCTGGGAGACGGAAAACCGGCTGGAGGGCTGGGGGGGCTGGGATGAAAACAGCAGGTTCTGGGGGAGAGGGGGGGTAGAAGAGTTTGGCATGAATTTATATACAGAGTTTATATAGAAAATCTGTTTGTGGAGAAACAGCTTTGTTTCATGTGGATGGAGTAACATTGTTCCAAAGTACAGTGTAAACAGCTCAGCAGGCAAGATATAGACCACAGGATATAGACTGCAGGCCGGCTATGGCCTAGGTCTGCCGCAGACCCTCAGACAGTCTGTACATGGGAGAATCCCCCATGCCCCCCCCCACCAGGACTTACCTGACTGCCCTCCCTCTGCCAAAATATAGCTGGCTGCGGGTTCCCAGTAGCCTCGCACTGGAAGGTGACGGTACGACCCACTGGCACCACCTGGTTCCGGGGCCGGACTGCGAACAGCGGGGGCACTGCGGAGAGGGCGGGAGTGTCAGGCACAGCGAAGCGAACACGACACCATAAATATTCATGATGATGATTAACAGCTAACAGAAATTAATATCAGACCGAGGAAAGAATTATTGAATTGGGCAGCATATGCAAAACATGTGAGGCCCATGAAGAAGGCCTAGTCTACTAAGGGTCTCTAAGACTCCCGCCATGTGAACAGGCCATTACAGCAAAAGCCAGGATGTAATGGCACATGTGATGAACTGAAAAATGTCTCTGCATTTGCATATAGAGGGTCGTGGACCAATAGACTTTCTATGCAAATGAGAAGGGAGGGGTGGGTGTGGGCACTCCAACGCCCTCATCTGGTATCGGCTTAACCCTGTGGTATCACCGCTATGAATATTAATGCGAGGTGAGCTCTAACACAATCAACTGTTGTAAAGGGGGGGTGGGGGGAGAATCATTTTAGAAGGACAGGAGGTACGACCCAAAATATGACAGCAGAATATACATCTTCTGAATCTAATCCACGTGTCTGAATCTAATCCACGGGTAAGGTAATCTGCAGTGTAATAGTTATATTGCACGCACGAGCCAGGCATAGGACACAGCAATATTCAATAAATAAATCAACAGAAGAGAACATCATTAATCAACAAGACTGGAACAATAGAACTTAATTATTCAGCTTTACCTTGGGGTTAGAGTTTTTTTTCTCTCTCTCTCACTCTCTCTCTGTTTTTTTTTTTTTTTTTACCCACGAATGTCCTTTAGGCCCCGTTGCTGCTGGAAACGGAAACATGGCGGCTGACGGGTGGGTGAGTGGGATGGAGGGAAGATGGAGAGGTTTCTGACGGCTTCCTGCCGCTGTCAGTGCGGTGACAAGGTGGCGGGAGACATTTCAACTTACCAGAAACAACTACAAGATAAAAACAAAACAAAACAAAAAACAGAACAAACACAAAGGGAACATGAATAAATAAATAGTGAACAGCATGGTGCAAAACAGACATGAAAGAAAACGGAGAACTACACAGTCACCATAACCCATCATGTGAGACAGTGATGCGAGGCGTCATGAGTGGATGGAAATGGGGGGTGAATCTGAGGGGCCTTTGGCCTAAACCTGCAGGCACAGCGGAGTAGTCATGTGACTTTTTTTTAGTATTCATGTGACTGAGACAGACACTGTCGATGTTAGATATATCCTGGAAAAGAGGAGGGACTCAAGCTCCCAGCATGCACCTCACGCTCACTCCCAGCATGCACCTCACGCTCACTCCCAGCATGCACCTCACGCTCACTCCCAGCATGCACCTCAATGAGCCTTGTGACCTATATTCTTTACTCACAGACAGGGTCCCCTAAGTTCTGCTTCCAACCTTGTTCAACAGGGGGCAATAACAACAGTTTCTGTACTATACTTCAGGAGGGGTAGGGCTGTTTGCCAAGATTAATGGTTCCTTAAAGTGTGAGTCTTCTATGATAAGATGTTTTTCTGGACAAACACCACCAGAGGTAAAGGGTTGCGTTCAGGACGGTGATACCCCAGGGGGCTCCCTCTGAGAGGTGAGGGGGTCTAGCTGCTCACAGACGGATGGGGCTCAGTAACTAGGATGCGCTGACAAGCTCTTCAGGGTTTTCATCAGTGTGCTTGTTAAAAAAAAAAACACCCCAGATAAGCAGTTACCTGTCATTCCTCCTCATAAATCTCAGCCTGTGATCGCTCACTTCATCTAATCTGTCTGCCTCAACGACTTACATGGAAACATAAACGCTAGCCGGCTGTCAGTGTGAACCCCCCCCAGTACGTGAACACGAGCCAGATGTGCCTTACGGGTACCTGACAAACCATCAACCTCATGCATAAAGAGAAAAAAAAGAGCTCGATGCACACATGTAGCGTTAAGCATCTGCATATGTAATATATCTGTCAAATGCAGCCTGGCCTGCATCAGAGAACCAGAAGAGAAACCACCCCCCATCCTAGCTGTAGTACGACCCGCAATCCCCCCAAACCCATGAGAAGGTTGTACCATCTACTTTGGTTGGGACCTGCTGAAACTGCCACCCTGGCTTGTGGCTGGCCATACTGTGACTCAATGGCACTGCCGTCTGTTCAGTTCAGCATACTGTAAGTTTGTCTATCCAGCCACAATTTAAAAGCAACACCAGTGGCACAACAGGAGAGACAATCAAACTGAAGTCAAAATTTTTCTGGCTCTAAGTAGGCCACTGCTGTTGTACCCTTGGATGAAGGACCACTATATGGCTTAACAACTCAGTACAGTGAAGTTCATGCCCTGTTAATATTCAACAGTACAAATGTGCGAAAATGTCACCTGTTATAGTCACCCTGAATATAAAGGAAAATCAACAGGAATAGCAGCACTATATAATTTCTGTATATTTATAGCGTTACATAATTTTAAATTACATTATCTCTGTGGGAGTCGAGTGATCTCTACACACACTGGGCTGCAATGCTGCTCATTGGGGCAGCGTGTGGCTCAGTGGGCTAAGCCTGTGTGCCTGTGATCAGAAAGTCGCCAGTTTGAACCCAGCCTCAGCACGTCTGTGGGTCCTTGAGCAAGGCCCTTAACCCCCGGGTGCCGCAACAGGTGGCTGCCCTTTGCGGACAGCTTACTGTACAAAGAGCAAGTCGGGCGAGATGTAAAGAGAATTTCCCCACGAGGATCAATAAAGTATCAATTATTATTATAAGCAGAGTCCCCCTGCTTGGATCGATGGTGGGAAAGTGGCACTAGCTCACAGGCGATTTCCCCCCCCCCCCTCACTGTGTGGCACAGCCTGGCCTCCCCCTGCTTCCATTTCAGACAGGCAGTGGGCCTCACTGCAGTCTCCCTGGAGCACAAGCTGCTCCCTTTTGTAAACACAGAATTAGCAGCTGAGAGGGACTTGGTTTCCTTAGCATTATCTGTCAAAACAAGGTATTTGTGTGACTGACCAGTCTTCATGCACAGGAAATCCAGATACAGCTATGTAAACTCCATCTGAGAGCTCCAAGGTCCCACCTTGAACCAGGCTCGGGATGTGGAAGTCTAAACTCTGAAGATACATGGAAGTCCATTCTCCTAAGATAAGTGGAAGCCTAACTTAGTAAGACACCAGGAAGCCTAACTTAGTAAGACACCTGGAAGCCTAACTTAGTAAGACACCTGGAAGCCTAACTTAGTAAGACACCAGGAAGCCTAACTTAGTAAGACACCTGGAAGCCTAACTTAGTAAGACACCTGGAAGCCTAACCTACTAAGATGTGTATAAATATAACCTCCTTAGATACCTGGAAGCCCAAACCTCCTAAGACACAGAAGTCTAACCTCCTTACACATTTTTGACAGTCTGATTAACCGACTGGAATGATATTTTGTGAAACACATTCTGCAATTTGTTGTTAAAGGATTTAATGCACAAACGGAGCTAAGATTGCTGGATGATGTGATTTGCAGAAGAGAGGGATCTGGGCATGAGCTGGGGCTGTAGAGGGTGAAACTGGAGGATTTGTTCAGAGAGGCCAGGCTGCTGGGAATGTGTGCTGCTTAAATACACACTCTGTAGTGTTTAAAGACGTGTTAAACCACCAACCCTGCTTGGCAGGGTGTGTTTACGAGTCTCCTCCTGTGCTATTTCGAGCCAGCAGGGGGCAGTTTTCTCCCCCATCCCTTGTATCCAGGGTTAGTCCCATCTCAGGGATGTGGAATGACGAATGTGTAACGGATACGAGAGATGGGCTGATGGTAAAGCGACTGTTTTGGATGCTCCGATCTACAAACCGTCATTTACATGTGACACAGTGTGGCCTCACAGAGATCCAGCTGCAAGAAGCAAGGCAAAAGCTTTTTTCTGGTTCAGAATGAAGCTGATTTTAAACTGATAAAAGATGAGAATAGAAGCATGTAACATCATGTGGAATGGTTTTCCCATGGGCTATAAAACACACGAAAACCATCAATAGGAAAAAAAACAGCAAAAGCTACTTTGCAACCTGGCAAATGGAATGAGAGTAACTCATCTGAGAGGAACTTGGTAGGATTTCAATCAGTCCTCATTTCCAGGCCCGGCAAAGATCAGGGTGGGTGGGACAAGCCACTCAGCCAGCTATGCCTTTTGATGTCACAATGTTGAGACAGCCCCACCCTCTACAAATACACACCTTCATTTTTAAAATTAGCCATTCATCATGTTAATATTCCATATATTTATAACCTTGGGAAAAACATCTCCAGTAGACTAAAAATGTCATATAACCATTTAATATATTTCTGCCGAAATTACAGGTTCCAGTTGCTACTGTCCAAAAAACTTTTAGACTTACTTTGTAACATTATACATATATTTAGCTTCCAAAACCCCTGCAGAATTTTTCTTGGAAAAATGAAATTGGGATAAAATTCCAATAAGTGGTTCAGACTTAATGGTTGGCTAAGTTGATGACAGGTTCCTTGCAGTCTGAGCATGTGTCGCGTATGGACACATGGGGGAAAATACCAGATATACTATAAAATCACAGAACTTCCCTAAAATGCCCAGAATGCAGCCAGCAATAAGTTAAGTGCACATGCCACTCGTATGAAACAAACGGTCCATTCAGAGCGCCGATGCGTATGAAGCCAGCTTCACTGCGGTCCGAAGCCGCCTGCTAACAGCCCGGTCCGCTCTCACACACGACGAGCCCCCAGTAAGCTGGCTGCCAGCCAATCACACTCTATCTCTGCTGTTAAAAGGCACATGCCAGCCGGGTCATCCCTCACTCATCTAAAGAGCCATAAGGCCCAAACACAGCCCCATAACAAGCAAAAGCTGTTTCAGTCCACACCAGTAAGCGCATAGGGCCAGTCTTTCTGAGGTTCCCTTAGTCATAAATAATAATGCATTTTTAAACAATGAGTACAATGAGCTACGCTGCCACAAAATCCATAAAGTCGCCCTTCCGGCCATGACGCAAAATTCCAGAGGAGATGATAGCGGACACATGGTCGTATGTGGCTGTTCTATCTTCTGGAAGCAGTGTGAGAAGATGGAAATGAGTGGATACTGTGTGTGTGTGTGTGTGTGTGCGTGTGCATGTGCGTGTCTGATCTTGTCATTTCTCACTGATGACTGCAGAGGGGGTTACCTACTGCAAAACAAAAGCAGGATGACAAAAACATTCAGGTATGAGTGGGTGAGAAAGACAGAAAGAGAGAGAAAGAGAGAGAGAGAGAGAGAGAGAGAGAAATGGGGGAGGAAAGAAAAAGAGAAGGAGTGATATAGAGCTGATTCCGGATGGACAGATAGCTGATCTGCACCCGTTTTCTGTCCCTCAAAGGCCACCTTCCTCCCCACCCCCATTTAGAGCTGCGATTTTACCCCCTTGCTTGTGCTTTGTTTGCCCCCAGTTTGGGAGCTGGAGTCTGTAATTAGTCACATGTCACTTCCTGGCGCAGGATACGGCCGGCGTGTCTCTAATTACGCGGCCGTCCCCATGAGCGTGCCAGTGCACAGGCTGGGGCCCCGGGCCCGGGGGGGGGGGTGGGTGACAGTCCCTCCCACAGCCCCCCAGTGAGTCCATGTAATGACACTCTCCACAGAAGATCAGCTATCACTTAATGGTGCCCTCAGCAACTTCCTGTTTGTGCATTTTAAAGTTATCGGGAGGAAAGAGGTCAGTTATGTGTCTTCCTGTTGAAAATAAGGTGGCTAATAACCTTTAACGCTGACCTGTGCCCATCAACTCCTGTCCCATCTTTGGAGAGCTGTGTGAGACACTGGCTCTCGATGGAGGTATTGACACCGGCTGAGGAAGAACATAGTGATGTTTTAAAAACACCGCTTGACGGAGGGGATGAAGATGTAATTGCATATGGCAGACGACAGAAAAGCAGAGATAAGTGTGTGAAAGCTTTAATGGGGGGGTACTGTGTCGGACTCAGTCCAAACGCACTCTCTGAGCACTCGTCCCAGCGCCACTCTCACGACTGACCTCTTCACAATCAGCAACGCCCCCAAAGCATAATATCCATCAAGTTGCACTCTACAAGGGAATTATGGCCTGTCAACATGCGTCCCCCCCCGGCCCAAATGTACTGCTTCTATATGTCCCTATTCTTTTGTCCCCATCCTATAATTACCACAGTGCTAAATGGCCCCCTGTCTCCCCCCTCCCCCCAGAGAATATGGGGATAAAAACACTGATCCAGGTGGACACTCATTCTCTGAGAGAACATGGAGCAGCTGGTCTGGCTTAAATAGCTAATGGCCTATTTACAAGCAAGAAGCTGCCATTCTCTTCTCTAATATATCATTATAGAATATGCATCAAAATGCTCAATAAGACATGAACCCAGATAAACACAGCCATACACCCAAATGAAAGGACCACAATGACTGCTTTTGCCTAAATGTACCTTAATAACAGGACGCATCACCTCACAGAAAACATTGTTATTACATTACGCTATCGACCCGCCAGCCTTCCAGCATGACGCAGAAAGAAGAATTCTTTGCCAATTGCTGATTTCCTTGGCTGGGCCACTTCATTAACACATGTAAAGGACTCAACAGCAAGGCCTGCAGGTGAAGAATACAAGTAGAGCTGTCAAAATTACTCGGCTAAACTCGATTATTTAAAAAGGATTTATTACAATTTGCTTTCTCAATTACTCAGAAATATGGCGCAAGGACGACAGTGCATAGTGGATGAAAGTGAAAATAAAGCGCGGAAGCCGAAGTTGTGTGAAATCACTTCACATTAAACACGAATGAGAATGCAGTCGTCTGTCAGTATTGTGAAGCTTAAATATCACCACAGCACAACTGCAATGCAACTGCATTTTAAAAGACAACATTTATGTTTGACAGACTCACCTAATAATGTGAGGTTAGTCATACATATCTCCCATTTAGCCACCTGGAGTAGCCTAGCCTGCCTCTGTCATCAATTTAACTTATTTTGTTTAATTTACTTTCTGTGATTTGACTTAAATTATTTTGCTTAACTTACTTTCTGTGATAATTGCTACTAAAACAAAAGTCAGCCCATCACTGAGCCGCACCATCTTACATAATACGGTTCATAATAACCACATTTTTTTGCAAACAAATTATTTGTTCGGAGTAAAGCTGAATGTCATTGTAAAGGTTCACACTTATTCAGGGTTAGTCTGATCTCAGGGGATGTGGACGGATGGGAAGCGAATACGAGAAAATCATGATATTTCCGACATTTGGGAATTTAAAATGAACTACACAGCCAAATAGAGCTTATTATCCACCAAGAGACTCTGTCAAATAAGTGGGAGGTGTTGCTGTGAGTTGTGCCAACAGACATGAAGCAGTGCTGACAAATCACTTCCTTTTGCTCATTGTCATCTCAATGGAATACAAAATATTTCCATAGAGTAGAATACAAATGCCTTCTCATGACCAGTCCTGGTTCGCTTTTCTGCACTTCACTCATCTTTGTTTCCTACAGACGAGCCACATTACCTATGTGTGAGTCCGACAGCAAGGACGAGAAAAATGATGACTATCTTGAAGGGTGTATGCAGAGCTTGTGCAAAAGCAGCAGTGATAAAATGTAGACATTTTTAACATATATTAGATAATCTTCAAAAGGAGCATAGAGTAAAATTGGAAAGTTTGCTAAGTTTTATGTCATATGACAGAGTAAAAACGTTTTGATGCAACTTATTGATGGTCTCAACCCAGCTGACTAAAACTGATGTGACAACTGCATGTGTAAAACATGTGATGTCAATATTAACATTGCACATCCTTCAGGTTAGTATTGAGGGCAGCAGAGCGGCTCAGTGAGCACTGTATCTCCCTGTATGCGTGTAGCTTTACAGCAGATCGTCTGCTTTCCCTCCACTGTCCAAAAACATGCAACTTAAGTGACCTAAAGTGCCGAAATTGTGTGAGTGAGTGCACACACTGCAATGCTTGGTTGGTTCCTGACTTGATCCAACTGCAAAACACTCACACGAATAATCATCAAATTTATCAGTAGATTACTTGATTATTGATATAATCAGTGATGGATTGCCATAAACAGAAGCAACAGACTCAGGAGTAGCGGTGGCCTGTTAAAGCCAAACCCCCCCAGTCTCTGTTTCAGGTGGCGTTCGTTCCTCCAACACCTGCAAAAGGCAGCAGACTCTTATCACTTACAAATAACCACAGTGGGTTTGTCTGCCTCCTGCTGCTTTCCCATAAAACCTTGAAGCTGAAACGTACTTTCTCAGGTGTCTCTCCACGCTAAAGAACTGTGATTGCTTCACCCCTGAAGGCATATTCTGCATAAAAGGGAAGCCGACTGGGAGCGTTTAGCAGTGGTCGGCAACTCAAGTGTCTACAGACACGTGTGAGTGTACCTTTGGGTTCAGTTAAGGTGAGCAGACATGAATAACATGTAGGTAAGTACAGGTATACAGATAGACATGCATCGAGCAGGTCAGTCAGGATAGGCAGCAGGTGTGAGTACAGGTGAGTAGAAGTGAGTGTGAAACTAAACAGGAGTAAGTACAGAGTACTGTGTCTGTGCAGTGTAAAAAGCACCCCCCAGCGGTGAAAGTACTTCTACAGATGCGGGCGGAAGGCCTTACCGTGGACGGTGAGGGTAGCAGAAGCCTCCGCCTTGCCCACCATGTTCTCTGCGACGCAGGTGTAGGAGCCCACGTCGGCCGTGCTCACACGCCGCACCTTCAGGGTGTGGTCCTCGCGGATTTCATACCTGCGGGTGGGAAACACCCTGCATGACCGACGCAGATGTGACATCAGGGGGCCCTGGGAATGAACCTCACAGTACCCATTACACTGTTTGCTAGAGCTAAATAAAGTAAATAGGATTTTAAAACTGGATTTATAGCTTTTTAACTGCATAAAGAGTAAGCTGACCCCCTAGGGCAGGATGGGGCACTATGACTTAGTGGGTCAGAGAGCCTGTCTTTTGGGTTCGATTCCCAGCCGTGCCTGGAGCTTCCACTGTGACCTTACATGTGCTTAATGGGGGGACAGTGTGTGCCTGTGACTGGTTTCACCATTGGGTCCCTGATTCATTGGGTCCCCTTCACCCTGATTGCTCCATGGCCTCATCCCAAAGATGTACATCAGTGTCTGTGGTGGTGATGGAGCATGATGTGAGGCTGAGCCGTACCTCCCCTTGGGCAGGTCTCCATCCTCCTTCCTCCAGCGCACCGTGGGCACGGGGTCCCCGCGAGCCTCACACCGAAACTCCACGCTCTCCTCCACCAGCACCACCTGGCTGCCGGGCCTCTTCGCAAAGCTGGGCCGCTCTGGAGACAGACAGCAGCCCCACCCCGGCCCGGATGATCAATGGCAGCAGGAGAGGTAAGCTTGGTGTGGCGAGACACCCCAGTCACCCCCCCAGGTCACACATATACGGACGGAGTGGAGTGGAGGCTGGAGATCAGGACAGCTCCAGGGTGGAAGCCAACCCTGGTCTTCAAATATGGAGGGGATGCTTCACTGAAGTAACTATGAAGTATTTATTCATGGTAGTCAGTTCTGTTTGGGATTCAGCTGGGTGCTAATTAAATATCGTGATCATGACTTCTGCAGGACAGTGAGAAGCAGGACAGGGGAGCCCTGCGATGGGAGATGCTGGAGCTGCTGAAAGCCGTGGGTGCATAAGAGACCATAATGCAGCGTGTTTGTTTATGTCTGTCCATCTGGCCTGCACCCCCCCCCCCCCCCGGAGGCTCTGGAGGGCAGGACTCACCCAGCACTGTCAGCTCGGCGATCTCGCTCTCCCGCTCGCCCACCATGTTGGTGCCCACGCACACGTACTTCCCGGCGTCGCTCTTCCGTGCGTTTGTGATCATCAGCTTCCCGCCCCGGATCTGAGGGGGTGGGGTATGTGGTGAGGGAGAGGAGGATGTAAAGTGAGGGAAGAGGGAGTGAGAAGCGAGTGGCTTTGATGGGAAACTGCTGCTGTTTAGAGCAGCCAGGCCCATTCCCACACAGTTACATTTATAACCTGCCAGTCAGCATCAGACACACAATAACAGGGATTCAGCCTCAGTTGTTCCTTTCAGTGTATATAGAAAATGCTGGGCCCTGCGTTTGTCTCACAGTGCTGCTGTCAGGAATGCCTTTATCAGGAGCCTATGGGTTTGTTACCACTTCGCGTGATGAAGCGGACATGTTCCCTAAGCCCTGATTGCGAGGCTGCTCTCCGGCCGGCTCCCCGCCACACCGGCTCCTATCAGAGAAACGGCCCTGATGGCGTTTTAAGGCTCACGGCACATCAGCACCCTCCACCACAGCCGCTAATGGGCCCGCGGAGGAGGGAGGACGTTTCCTCAGCGCCCTGTTGGTCTCCCTGCCACTCCGCGCTCTGCTGGCATCGGTGCCAAAGGCAACACAAGGGCCCCTGTGTGAAACAGCAGCGGCAGGTACAGCAGAACCCAACCCCGACGACAGGCTGGCTTCTCCTTACATCAACACCCCTATCCACGGAGTCTCCAAGGCAAACAAAGCCAGCGACGGGGAACTCACAGCACTCGGGCACGCAAAGGAAGCTTCCAGCGGAAAATTCTGCAACAGTGAAGTTCCGCGTGTGACATCCCTGATACTGAGTGCCCGGTCCTCAAACGAGTCTGTAATTCTCCTAGACTGATTTTCCCGTGTTGAAAGCGCAGATTTCCAGCGTGTGGGACTGCATTGTGCTCACTTCTCAAGCGTACGGTACTGTTTTGGTCACCGCCTGTCGGAGACCCTCCATAGGGCTCGGCCTCCCCAGTGTCCCTTCCCTGGAGGCAGGAGGTTTTTTTTAAAAAAAATTCCTTGTAAGCCCCCACCCTAAATAAAGCTGGTCTGACAGCTAGGGACACTATGACCCTGCCCCCCCCCATACGAAATCACAAACAAATCACATCCGAATACTCAACACATGCTCCAAGGCACTGCTAAGCGGATGTTATTACAAGAACAGCACATAAACAGAGACTGAAAAATGGCTATCTTGGCAGAAGCTATGATCCAGTGTATTCACATTATAAACAGGCTACTGCCCTCTGAACACCCACTGACTGTAGCACTAAGGTCAGACACTGCACTGATATAATTATAGTTAAATATGATTACGTTTAGTATAAACACAGTCCGAAATGTTATTTACAAAGCAGTTTCCCCAACAGGTTTAGGTGTTTCCATTAGGCAGATGTTTCCAAGTCTTTTAATAAACAAAGTGCAGTTTCCTCGGGATTCCTCCCTCCCCAGTTCAATCGACATGAAATTTGACTGACCCTCCCCCCCCGCCCAGCAAATCGAGCTGACAGATCGGCACGACACTGTGGCGGACCGGACAGGAGCTTTCACACGAAAAGCCAGCCGCGCGGCAGCGTGATGAGGCTGACAAATGACCAGCAGACAGGCGGCCAGTCGGCCCGAATGGGGAGGGAATGGGGAGAGATGCCACATCTCAGACTGTCAAGCCTGGACAGAAGAGGGCTGCTGCTGTCTGCTCGCAGATGCTGTCTGAAATGCGGGGGCCTCATTAGGAGACATCGCCCGCGGGGTGGGGGGGATACACAGAGAAATAGGCACATGAAATCAAAAACTACACAGATGCGCACCCCCCAACACACATTCACAGAAAGACAGGATCAGCGAAGCAAACAGGTGAAAAACACATTTAAAAAAAGGCGAGAGCATACAGGAGCACTGGAGCGAAAGGGGGAAAGGAAAAGGCACAGATTCCAGCTGGAAATGTAGGGAAATGCAAACCAAGCTGCAGGGTCAGAAGCTCCACGTACTCGCAGATGCAGTGAGAGACGCTATTGCTGTTAGTGCAGAACTCACACAGAGAAACACACACATAGACGCAGGCCTGTGCATTTACCCCGACGCACATGCACACGCACAGAAACACAGGCATAAACACACCCACACACAGATGATGTGAAATGTTAATATCGACATCACAGGTCACGCATGTGCAGCTGTCCCATGGCCGGGACCGTAATAGCCGGGTGGAGATGAGGCTTGGGCGGTATCTCATTTTCCAGACTGACATACCATCTGGACATCATACCGCGGTAGACAGTATTTTGACAGTGTTTTCAAAAGCAGCGGTGTTCCTGTATTTTTAAATCTTGGTGATAAATTTGCGCAAGCACAGGGTTTGGGCGGGTGGGGGGATGTTCATAAAACATGTTTATACTGTCATAGGAAACAAAACTTAGCTTTGAAATTTTAATGATTGTTCTTTGCTAAGATCATCTAACACGTCACAAAAGCAGTGTGAAGTTTACTGCCGCCACTTTGCCATGAGCACTAAAAAATGCAGAGAACACAGAGAAACACAGGCATGCGCATAAATTCAGACACACACACACACACACACAGTAACACAGGCATGCACATTAACTCAGACACACACACACACACAGTAACACAGGCATGCACATTAACTCAGACACACACACACACACACACACACACAGTAACACACACAAAGCGAAACACAGCTGTTCACATTAACCCAGACACACACACAGAGATGCAGGCGTGCACATTAACCCAGACACACACACAGAGAAACACAGGCGTGAACATTAACCCAGACAAACACAGCAGAATGCAGACGTGCACATTAACCTAGACACACACAGAAACGCAGGCGTGCACATTAAACCAGACACACACACAGAAAAACGCAGGCGTGCACATTAACCGAGACACACACAGAGAAACGCAGGCGTGCACATTAAACCACACACACACACACAGAAAAACGCAGGCGTGCACATTAACCGAGACACACACAGAGAAACGCAGGCGTGCACATTAAACCAGACACACACACAGAAAAACGCAGCTGTGCATATTAACCCAGACACACACACATTTCATTAAACTCCTTGTCCCTTCCCCTGAGTTTGATGAAGAGCCTCCTTGCTAATCGCAAATTGATGGCTGAGCATGCAGACAGATATGATTTGATTAAATTTAAAACAGATTATGCGCTTGTTTCTTTTAATTACGGAACGCAATTGCCCAGCACAAAGAAGACTTTAATCTCCCAGCGTCGAGAACTGGGGAAGTAGAGAGCTGGAGGCGACGGTCTGGTGGATTATGGGTGTGGGAGGCAGATGCCGTGTACGGACCCTTGGCATGAGCACGCCAAGGGGGGTGGGCAGCCATGCAGAAAAGGAAACACTGTAAACTGCTAACTTTACACGCACACTTAGAGATAGATTTAATAGCCACATCAAACAGGAAAACCATAAGCAGACATTTCATTCTAGGGGAAAAAAAAACAACTTCTATGCTTACTGAACCAACGTTTCCCTGTCTGTCCGCATTTCACCTGGCTGACTGCCCTCCATGACAGAGGCATGTATACCATAAGCTGGTAATTTAGAAAAAAACTGAAATGCCTGGGAAATCATGTGGGATTTTAGCAGCCCTGCAAACACTCAATAAACTCGCCTCATAAGAAGTATTTTCCAATTGATTCATTCTAAACACGGCAAAGCTACTGAGTTACCTAAACGGATGCAATTAAGCACTTTGCAGAAACTGTCTTGCCTGTTAACTAAATAACTGGCCCAAATTTGGGCTGGAATAAGAGCGAGGCGCAGCTGAAACACTGGTGCTCTGCGGGACACAGCACAGCCCTGGGACTGCAGCACTGCTAGGCTCCGCTTACTCCAGTCCCACCAAGCTCTGCTTTCTCCTGAAGACTTGGAGTGCTGTCGCCACTGACATTCATGTCCCAGAGGTATTTAAAAGCCTGTTTGATGTTATGCAGAACTCGTGTATCACGAAACACTACAGCACAGAAAGAGTGAATGCAGGGCGTGACAGCAGAGCAGCCAGTAGTACACGCCCATCCTGGTGAGCAGCTAAGGAAGGACAAACTGAGGGTCTATGATGTATAGAGCATCAGTAAAGGGCACTTATACGCTACAGGAAGTGCAAACTCTCACTCCTTATCCTACAGCTGCCGATTCGAGGGCCCGTAACAGGTCCAGCTTGGTTCACAAATCGCAGACCTCGCAATACACTCGCAGTGATCCCCTGCAGCGATATGATCGAGGTCAGGCCTCTGTCTCAAGAGCAAGACATGATTGATACCACAGGCCCCTCAAACCACGCTGTTAATTAAAAAAGACTAATTCAAGATACGGCCCCGGTCGCTGCATCAATCAACTCAGCCATCTCTGCTCCCCCCACGCCCACCACGATGGATGCCCAGCTCAGACCTTACTTCTTATTCTTTGTTTTTGCTTCTACTGGCCAATAACATCCTCATGCTGTCAGCGACCCCCCCCCGTGATTGGCGTGCCAGCCTCGGTGTGTACACCGATACCATCTAAAGCGCAGAAGCACATGAGGTGAGCGCTCTGCCTCTCTGCAGGAGCACAGTGCCTTCCACTGCAGAGATGGGAAGATGTTTTATTCGTGCCTAATCCAGTTAGTAAGTGGCAGCACATGGTAATCTGGCCTAAACACAGCTTAAGCCATTGTTTCCTCCATCGCCATTGGAATCATGGTCATGTGACAGGATGTGATGACCTCATGACTACAGGGAAAGAAGTAACAGAGACAGAACTAACCAGTCCCTGCTATCTCTTATAATCCATCTGCCTTATTGCTTCCCACCCCTCACAGCCTAAGGTCCCTCCCCCCTCACCGTTATTCGCTCATCCCGGTCATCGATGTTTGCTCCATCCTTCTTCCAGGAGATGGTGGGCTCAGGGTGCCCTCTGGGAGGTTGGCACTCCATCACGGCCGGCTCGCCCGCTGCCACCATCACGTCTGAGGGGTTCTGCCGAAAGTCCTCACGAAGGACTGCAGGGGGAGACAGAGAAGCGATGGGTTAGTACCCGGGGACCGTCTGTCAGCGTGACGTGAAATAGCTAATGGTCCAGTCACATGTCGGAGCCATAGGAAAGAGTTAATAACTTGGTTCTGTGTCAGCAGGAGCAGGAACCAGCGACATGCTCCATTAGCAGGTACACAGAATACTTATAGACACGCCAGCACAAATGAAAAACAAAAAAAGCCATCCATGTACTTCTGTCCACTTCTGTAAAGAACAGCTGGTCACCCTCACGTCAGCTTTATCATAATCAGGGTCATTACCCACAAAGCCGAGGTAAATTGTGGGTTACAGGCGGCCGACAATCAGGCAGTCACATCGCAGGCTGTGTCAGAATACGGCAGAAAACAAAAAAGAGAGAAAGGGAAAAAAATGAAAAAGTGTGCTCAGGAAGAGGCGGGGGTAGCTGAGAGCTGGGGGTAAGGGGCTCACTGAGAGCTGGGGGTAAGGGGCTCACTGACTGGGGGTTAGGGGCTCACTGCTAAGGCCATATCAGACACTGTACCATCAGTCTGGCCCCCGGGGCAAAGTCACAGACAACAAGGCCGGCCATTATTCACACCAGAACACCGCTGCATGCCCCCCCCCCCCGGGACATATGTGGTCAGGAAACGACCATAAGGTGAGAGAGGTTGCTGACAAAGACCCATGTGAGACTCACACTCGCACGTCCTGCACGGCGGCACCGCAGAGCTGCTCTACGGCGCGAAGGACTGAGTTATGGCCCAGATCAGGTCTCCAAGGCCCTGCTTTATCTTGTGACAAAAAATCTTAGCTCAACTATGCTCAGGTTGGAAGAAAACAGAATCATTTACCTACCTACTACACATATGGGTGGACGGCCAAAAAAACCCCAATTTCTCAGTCTCAGTGTCAGCGCTGTTCCTGTCTGCCGCCTTTGTGGGGCACAGGGGCCTCTCTGCTGCCCCCCCCCCCCCCCCAGGGGCTCGTCAAACCCCTCATTCCGCTATTTTCCAATGTCCCACCATGGCTGAATGGACATGGACACTAGGATAACTTAACACTGCTCATTTTAAACCTTCCGGGCAGCTTAAATTTCCCGCCACGTGATTAACTGATGGAGACCCGACGGATCGAGGCGACCGTGCCAGTGGTGTCTGCTAGGGTCAGACTGAACAATCACCTGGCTGTGCTGAGCGGATCGATAATGGCCGGCGGTCTTTGTCTGTCCAACACTCGCATTAGAGAGGATTACATCTCTAAAAGACCATTATGAGAAAATTTCAGGACTGAGTGCCGGTGCATAACAGCCATGAGAAAGAGAGAGAGAGAGAGACACACACACACACACACACACACACACACACACACGCACATCATAAGGGGGATTTACGGCCGCTCAAAGCTATCAGCCTGGCGGCATAAAACATGAAACCTGTGTGTGTGTGTGTGCGTGTGTGTGTGCGTGTGTATGTTGGGGGGGGGGAGCAGTAAGACACACAGCATTCCACCGACACTGACATGGATGGAGAATCCCGGGTGTCTGTATCAGCATTGGCCCGGGGGAAGAAAATAAGAAAAGAACAAGAGCGCCCTAGTGTTCCCCCCCTCTGCCCCCCCCAGCACCACAGACACGACAGCAGACTCCAGTGGGGTGGGGGGCGTTGTGCGTTATTGCCGTTCAGAGAGTTGGGAAATGGAGGATAAAACAAACAGGGATTACTCTTTTATTTTTTGTTTTTTTTTGGGGTGCGGTGTCACAAGGAAGACCTTAAGAGTGCAGACCGCCGAAATGGGGACAAGGTGCTGTGCAATTGATCTGCCTTTAAAGATGGCCATCTTCAAAGGGAGGTGTGCGGTCATGCCAAAAAAAGAAATAAAATCACCAAACGGGACGGCCTCCTCCATCTGCGCCGGGACACTCGACCGCCCGCCCCAGCAGCCCATTCGGCCGTCCGTGTCACCAATTAACCGACCACCAAACGCTGCACACATGCATCTTACCCGATGGGCACCCAGAGAACGCAGTGTGCATGGGGACAGGTGGCGGACTGATCGGCTGGTGTCGCCCCGACTGGCGGACCTGCCCCGGGGGGGCTCCCGGGCAGAACCCTGCTGTTCTTGCGCTCACCTACTCCAACAATCTGCCTCTGTTTGAGCCCCACAGAGAAGGTTTCTTCTCACTAACAGAGGGGATTATTTCTGCACACACCTGACAGGTGTGCTAATAAAAAAAAGAACTGAGAACCCCCCCCCCCCCAGTGCAGGCCTGGGGCATAGAGACGGCGTTCCACCTGTTCCCAGGTAAATGGAAGCACTGATGGGGTGAATGCAGCCGTCAGGGAGCAGCCACCGAGCACGATGGTCGTTCTTTGCTCCTCACATGTCGGTCTGTGCCGTGTGAGTCTGCATGCGTGTGGATGTCAGAGATGAATACCCCCCCCCCCCCCATCATGACGACAAACTGCTGCCTGAGATCAAAGCCAAGAGCAAACTGTGAAACCCAAACCTCCAGCAGCCCATAAATTCCTGCCTAAATCCTTTAAGTGCTTAATTGACCATCACAGGCCTGAGATGCCCTTTGCTGGGACACTGCGGCAGGGTGACCAGGAGAGCAGGTGACGCTGACCACACTGCGGCTGCTGGCTCCTCTGCCCTCCAGCATGCTGTCATACACGCCGCACGGGGAAGTAAATTAAGGAAAGGCTGAAAGATGAATTAAACTGCGGGGGCTGCGATTGTGGCCGCCTTCCGAAGCCACGGGGAAGCCCTGTATGCTTACTGATGCGGATGTTCAGAACACAGCAGCATGTTTCATTATGGGACCCCCCCTTCCTGCCCAGTGTTCATGAAGCCAGACCAGTGCAGATGTGAGCACTCCGCTGGGCGGCTGCCGGCAAGGAGAAAGAAATGGATTTACTACAGAATGAAGGCCCGACTCACCCACATGCGTGCTAAATGTGCGGATATAAAACCAGTATTTTTTCTCGCTACAGAAAAAGGAGACATTTATTCCTTGAAAATGTGTGTGTTTGTATAGAATACAATAGAATAGAACAGAATAGAATAGAATAGAAAACTTTATTGTCTGTTCACAAAGGTAACAGAAAGTCACATGTAAAACATACAAACACGCACATACATGCAAACTGTTTAAAGGTGAAAATTGAAAACCGTCAGATCATTTTGTGCTCTTCAGGATGGCCATTGCAAAGGGGATGAAGGATTTCTTTGAATTTTGTGTTTCTCATGACACCTGAGCACTTGAATTTGATGGTTCTGCCCTTGAATTCGTTCTGCGTTTATGGCATGAAACAGGCACAGAGACTCGAGTCACTGACTGCTCTGTCTGTGATTCTCCATCTGTGTGCCTGCATTTGTGTGCAAGGGAGCTGTATGTTTGATCACATGACTGTGCAACCTGTGGCAGTGTGACATGGGGGATGCACCCCCTGGTGACAGTCTGAGGGACAGTGGCATTCTCCGTGAGACCCCCTGCTGCCTCCAGAACTCCCTCCCCCCGCTTTACTGCCATGTCTGCTGCACCTCTACATGCACAGCGAAGCCTGGCACCCACTTTCAGAGCATGCTGTCTGCAGCACGGACCACAGCTGCTAACCGCGAGTCAGGCCCCAACATCTGTACTCTCCTCTGGAGAAGAACGGTGACTTCAGTTGGCTAAAGAGAGCTCTGCAATGAAACAGGCAAAGCTGGACCCCAGCCAACAGACCTGGTCCCTGGTCCCTGCCTGACGGTGGTCCGGAGTGCAGACAAGGCCCAGAAGAGCGTTCGTTCTGGGCGCCATAGTCATAGCCTCGGTTGCAGCTATAATTTCACCCCATATGGTGATGGAGATGAAGATGATCATTCAGGCCAGAAGAGTGTCTTGCTACGGACTGGACACCTGATTTTAACCCAGGAAAACAGGCATCCTAGCAAAGGTTGTTGCCGTACCCTTGAAACTTCTGAACTTTCATTTCTCCAGCAAAATCCCCAGCTCTGGTAATAAAGGTTGGCTAAGGAGCCGGATGAAAATAGCAGGGAGAGTGCGCTCCATTAGCCTGGCAGTACCCAAGGCCTCGCCCCCTCGCCCCACGCCCGAGAGGCCCGGCCCGGCCTTTCTGCAACGTTAGCCGCCCTGCTGAATCACCTTCTGGGCAGCCATGACGTAGCGAGCACACACCATCTCCACAGCACCCCCGCTAGCCGCTGCGGGCCTCTGGGCCGGGCGTGTGATGGATCGCAATAGGATGCAGGGCAGCCAGCCAGGCAGCAGCGAGTGGGCAAGCAGGAATACATCATCCCCTTTCAGCACAGCAGAAACCTGCCTGTAACTAGGCTGGCCACTCAGTCTACCTGCTAATATTTAGCATTATAATTAATTTTCTCCAAAGCATGTTATTTATTTATTCATTTATTATTTACTTTGCTCCTGGGGAAATTAGAAACAGATGCTGATATGTCAAATTAAAACGAGATTCCCGTCCCGCGCCAGTGACAATAATGGCAATGAAGACGCAGCACCGCATGTGGAGCCCCATCGACAGGCTGCTCAAACGAGCTTTGTTCAGAGGAAATTAAAAGGATTCTGGTAAGCCACTGCAGAGGCCTCCAGGACAGCCGAGAGCAGCCACCCGGGAGAGGATGGATCGCCCACAAAAGCATGCGGCAGCAGCCTGACACAGACGTGAAACTACTCTACTGCCCTGGACCTGGGAACTTTTCCACTCAGTGAAATCTGAGTGAAAATAAAGAAAAATCAGTGTTTCTGACACATTCAGGAAACACCACGTAAAATCCCAAAAGCTCACGGTAAGCCTAAGCAGTTCTGTGCACTTGGTACGGTGGGCAGTGCCCGCGTTTTCTGGCAGGCTAAGCATGTCGTAAATAATGGCGGGATCAGAGCAGGTTACAGTTTGATGCCAGCGACGGCTCTCAGCCTCTCACACTCTTGCGTGAGCTGCTCCTCTCTGCCTCTTCCTTTTCAGGACCATGGATCTCCACAGCC